CCTGCAAAGGCCTTTAAATGGTCTCTCAGTCTAGTTCTGTAGGCTACACAATCATGGGGAAGACTGCTGACTTGACAGCTGTCCAAAAGATGACCATTGACACCTTGCACAAGGAGGGCAAGACACAAAAGGTCATTGCTAAAGAGGCTGGCTGTTCACAGAGCTCTGTGTCCAAGCACATTAATAGAGAGGCAAAGGGAAGGAAAAGATGTGGTAGGAAAAAAGTGTACAGGCAATAGGGATAACCGCACCCTGGAGAGGATTGTGAAACAAAACCAATTCAAAAATATGGGGGAGATTCACAAAGAGTGGACTGCAGCTGGAGTCAGTGCTTCAAGAACCACCACGCACAGACGTATGCAAGACATGGGTTTCAGCTGTCGCACTCCTTGTGTCAAGCCACAATTGAACAAGACACAGCGTCAGAAGCGTCTCGCCTGGGCTAAAGACAAAAAGGACTGGACTGCTGCTGAGTGGTCCAAAGTTATGTTCTCTGATGAAAGTAATTTTTGCATTTCTTTTGGAAATCAAGGTCCCAGAGTTTGGAGGAAGAGAGGAGAGGCACAGTATCCACGTTTCTTGAAGTCCAGTGTAAAGTTTCCACGTCAGCAATAGTTTGGGGTACCATGTCATCTGCTGGTTTTGGTCCACTGTGTTTTCTGAGGTCAAGGTCAACGCAGCCGTCTACCAGGAAGTTATAGAGCACTTCATGCTTCCTGCTGCTGACCAACTTTATGGAGATGCAGATTTCATTTTCCAACAGGACTTGGCACCTGCACACAGTGCCAAACCTACCAGTACCTGGTTTAAGGACCATGGTATCCCTGTTCTTAATTGGCCAGCAAACTGGCCTGACCTTAACCCTATAGAAAATCTATGGGGTGTTGTGAAGAGGAAGATGCGATACGCCAGACCCAACAATGCAGAAGAGCTGAAGGCCACTATCAGAGCAACCTGGGCTCTCATAACACCTGAGCAGTGCCACAGACTGATCGACTCCATGCCACGCCACATTGCTGCAGTAATTCAGGCAAAAGGAGCCCCAACTAGGTATTGAGTGCTGTAAAAATAAAAAATCCTTTTTTTGTATTGGTCTTAAATAATATTCTAATTTACTGAATTTGGGATTTTCTGTGTGGAATGAATGTATACATTATACAAGTTTCACTTTTTGAATGGAATTACTGAAATAAATCAACTTTTTGATGATATTCTAATTATATGACCAGCACCTGTATATACATGTATGAGCACACCAGGGCGGACACCATCAGGGCCTGCAGCCTTGTTAGGCAAGGATTATACTTTCCGCGTCCGTGAGAACGCAAGGGTCCGCGTGACGAAAAAATTGTCATCAAAGGGGGTATGTGTAGGGTCCGCACAGACGTCGACTAGCGCTCCCAGGGCAACAACTGACCTACTGCGCATGTGTGGAACGCGTCCGCAAAGCTGACTGCTGAAGGTAGTATAAACAGAAGTAATCCACGGGGTCTGCAGCTGTCCGTGTCCGCTCCAGAGTATTTTCGAGGCTTTAGAGTGGAGTCTCCTCAGCTGTCTTCTCACCTGGTCAGCAGTGAGGCACACAGAGGTCACATATGGGGGAGGGGAGGAGTCGTCAGGCCGGAGAAGGCAGTTAACCTGAGAGCCAGAGGGGAGGGGTGAATAGGGGTCTCCCAGGAGGGTGGGAAACAGGGAGGAGGAGGAGGGGGGAGTAATGGGGTTGGAAGTGCAACTCCTCTGCCAGTATGAGCATCACTGGCTTCAGACTGACTGGCAGCAGAGGAGTTGAAGGCAGCTTGGACATGGCCAACCAAACTTAATCTGTTCTATAACAGATTTTTCTCAATGGCTCCTCCCCCACTAACTCAGCTGTTGTCTGCCCTCAAACACCTCCAACCCCACTACTCCCCATTTGCTGTCCTCTCTCCCTTTCTCTTCACCATCTACACCACGGACTTCAACTACCACACAGAGTCCTGCCATCTTCGGAGGTTTTCTGATGACTCTGCTGTGGCTGCATGTATCAGCATGGTGACGAGGCTGAGTACAGATCTGTGGTGGGAGACTGTGTCACAGTGTGAGCAGAACCATCTGCAGCTCAACGTGGACATTGCGGAGGATTACAAATATCTGGGAGTGCACATTGACAATAAACTGGACTGGGCCAAGAACACCCAAATCCTCTACAGGAAGGGCCAAAACCTGAGATCCTTCGACAGCTGCCGGACGATGCTGAGGATGTTTTATGAGTGTGTTGTAGCCAGTGCTATCCCATTTGCTGTTGCATGCTGGGCAGCAGGTTGAGGGTAGCGGACGCTAACAGACTCAACAATCTGATCAGCAAGGCCAGTGACGGGGGTGGAGCTGGACTCTCTGTCAGTGGTGTCAGAGAGGAGGATGCTGTCCAAACTACATGTCATCTTGGACAATGACTCCCACCCACTCCATGATGAGCTGCTCAAACACAGGAGCACTTTCAGTGCAAGACTCATCCCCCCAAATTGCACCACAGAGGGCCACAGGAAGTCATTCCTGACTGTGGCCATCAAGCTCTATAATTCCTCCCTCTAAGTGTTGGACACACTGGTCCTTAGTTATTAAACTGGACTTTATAATCTGTGCAATAAACTGGACCTCATAATCTGTGCAATATTATCTGTTTAATAATTAATGTGCTCTCTGCTGCAATTCTGCTGCAATTTATTCACTATTACTGTTCACCATAACAATTCTTTGTAAATATTGTACAATTCACACTCCCTTATATTTTTCTTTATATGTTATATTTATACTCATATTTATATATTTCTTTATCTACCTACTTTCTATTATTATTTCTTTTCCTTATGCCTTGATGTGCAATGTGTGCAACTGTGACAAAATAATTTCCCCTCAGGGATCAATAAAGTATTTCTGATTCTGATGTATAGTGATATCAAGTAATGAAGAATCCTCTATATGTGCCAAAAAGACAATTTGAATAGCCTTAATCATAGCCTTTATTAAGACATGAACATATTTACACAACTAATGAAAATCATTTCTCAAACTACTGGAAGTAAGCTACGTTTATGTGTATTGTTATGTTCTCTTTCTAGCATCTGCCTTCCCATCACTTGTCTTGGAAAGCGCAGGGCTGTGAGGTATCAAGTGGACAGCCAAGATAATCAAACCAACGAATCTCCTCCAACAACAACAACAAACACACTGTACTCAAGCCAACAACCATAGATGTGCTAACTTTGGCCTTTGCTTCCACACACAAACACTCCAGTGGTTTAGGGGGGAAAAAGTTCCGCCCTTCTAAACTATACTGGCCAAACTATCTGATGTGGTCTGATGGGACGCAAAAGACAGCACATACCCCCTCTGGCTTGCATCTGTCGCAAATCATCCCTCTCTATCAAACAACAAGATAAGATTTCAGGAGAAAGCGCAGGGTCAGGGGCCTCATGTGGCTGAGGGTGTAGAGCGCAGGAAAGGCAGACGGAAATGAAGGTCAGGGATTTTTCTTATTCGCACTGGCACTTTTCTGACGTACAGCTGCTACCAAACAATCTTTCAAAAAGCTTCTATGCTTCTCTAAGAGTTTATGCAATGCAAAGGTCTGTTGAGAATACAAATGTCTTGTATGACAAAAACATAAAACAAAGATCAATTACGCTGTCCCTATAAACATTTTTAATGGTTCATACTGAATATAATCAGGGTCATATACATACACAAACATACATGTACTGAATACAAACCCACTGCAAATTAGGGCACAAAATAATGCTGATCTTAGCTAAAACAATCAGTTTTACCTTTGAGTCAGAACATGATACATAATCAATAGCACAGCTGAAAGGCACACTTTGACTGCTAATACAATAATTAATCATAGCCTATGATGACCACAGGGAATTTCTGCAGCTCCAAGTCATTTAGTTTGTGGTGAGTGAAGCAATGCTCTGGCCTTGAATACTTTTTTTTGGGGGGGGAGGGCACACAGACAACAATTTAACCCTGTCAGCTGATTCTGCTTTTAGTTGATTCAATTCATTGTGGGTTTTAGTGTTTTCATGGGATTTGTTGACAATAAAAAATACAACACATCATCAGACGTAACCTTTAAGTACAGTTTGACTGGAGGTACAGTATGTTTACTTGATCTGATCTTTTTACCCACGTCAGGTGTATATATGAACATTGAAACAGGTTATGGTTGCTCTAATCATTACTTCTGCTCATACTGACTGTAATGTGGGACAAAATCCAGAGTACTTGTTTTGTGCAAAAATGTGTTTTATCTGAAATTAATGTGAGGCTTCAGCAGTCTGACAGATAGCAGATAGTTTAGTATAGAATTCCCTCTTTGTGTTTCTCTCAAGCTGCAGTGGAGGGATAGGAACAAAAACAGGGAGTTTTGTATTAAAGGGCTGCAACTTTGGAAGATATTACCTTGATGTGTCTAACTTGGATCATGAAGTCTCATATCAATTTCAGATAAACTTTGTAACAAATTCTGCACAAAATGAGGACTTCTAGTAGCTATCATGTACAGGATGATTGAATACAACAAGCCAAACCTGTTTCTGCTGATATGGGCACATTGTTTCAAGACCGACTGGAAATATAGTGAACCCATCTTTTAAAATAATGTAAATCTTTTTATTTTTTAAAATAATAGTTAACCTTGTGTTAATTTACAAAGCCAGTCTTTTTAAGTTAACTTTATATTCACCGTTAGATTGCTTTTCACTGTCACATTGTAACTTGATTTGTCACAGCTCTATGGCTAATAGCTTAAAGAAATTCAAAAGTGTAGTTTATCTTTCAAGTATGAAGTAATGTCACCATGTTTTTATTTTATTTTGAACACTATTCCTATTTAACAACTAGATACGCAAACATAAACAAATGGCCTCAGCCATCTTCTCTGTCTATATTAGGAAGGTATACAAAAGTGAAATGAGTGGTTCAGTCTGCCTCACTGTTGTCTGCAGAAGCAAGCTTACCGGACCGTGGCAGGTCAAGGAGTCATCATCAGCTCGCTCACACTGGGCATCACACTCCACACACACTGACGCGTTGGCATACTCTCGAATATCCCTGAGAGAAAGAGGAGGATAGGGATGGAGGGAGGAATTAAGATGGGTGGGGAATAGAAAGTGATGCAGGGGTGAGAAACAAGAGAGGGGAGCAAAACATCATGTGGTAAGTAATACCTAAAAACTTAAATTTAAAGTCTAATCCCAACTAGATGCCTGTGCCTTTTACTGGCCTGGTGACTCACTACCTATTAAAAGAATCAAACCTTTTTTTCATAAAAAATTTGAAATAACTAAGGTAACCTTAGCCTTTCATCCTTTCTCCGTAAGTCTCTCTCTCACTCTCTCTCTGTCTGTGTGCATGGGGTTGGCCTAGATGCATTGTCTCTCAGAGCTAGATCAAATTAATGATATATAACTGATATGTTATCTGATAGCCAAATTACAAGTATAAGTAATATCCATACTGTTAAATATAAATATACAGCTTCATAGTGGCCTATTCCACATCTTTGCTAAGCAAGTTTTGTGGCAATGGAATTAAAGGCCTGTCCCATATAGACAGACTCAATTTACTAATTGATGCAAATAAAAGCCCAGGCTAATAACTGAAGTTTTACGGTAGACACATGTTTACTCAGTTGCTGCATTCACTCAAAAACTCTTTGGTTAACTTAGATATGAAGGGAGCTAAAAAGCTTAGCAATAGGGCATCAATCACCTCTTTACCATTTGACTGCACATGTATTTTGCACCAAAATGATGGCTTGTAAAAGCTTAGAGTGTCTAAAATATTTTTCAAAGGTGTCAAGTTTAGTCAGTAGCTGAAATGTAAGAGAAAAGTAGAAGTTCTGGGGACCCACAAATGATGAATAACACCTCTTACTATATCAAACCCCACCTAATACTAAAATAAGTCATTTATAATATCTGTAGTGTTTCATGACGTTAGTGATTATACTTTTTTAGCATTTCCTAATACCCTTTTTACCCCAAAATTAGCATGCGTATGGAGGTTTAAAGACTAGATGGACGGTTAGCCTAGCATGCTAATATTATAAAATAAATGGATGAGACGTTTATAGACATCCGCAGATAGAAACAGATGAAAGAGTTGCACCAGAAAAGGGGCAGAAATTTGCGTGTCCATCCAGGTGTCATGTTTCCATTACTGCTGATCGGAGCTGGAGCCGATGAATAACCATAACTACTGCAGAGTCCCCGGAGGGAAAGCCAATTAATCCTGATTGAACCCTTTCACACTGAAGACAAAAGCCAGATGTTAGCGGGTGTTAATGGTTTTTTTGTCCAGTGTAAAAGGGGGTAAATATTTTGATTCAGCACGGAGCACAGTGTAATTTTAAAAATGACTACATTTCACTGAATCATATTGTTGTTTTCTCTTATGGATTTCAAAATCCGCAGAAGTACACTTTCATTAGGCTATATCTAAGTCTACAAATTCACTGGAATCACCTACACCTTGCACAAAAGAAAGCCCTGTGGAATTCCTGCTAAATACTAATCTCAATGTCATATCTCATTTTATTTTCCAGAACATTCCCTTTATGAGCTTTCTTATTGCTGAACACGTTTGTAAATGATCCTTTTCAATCAATAATGTCAAATGAAAATTCAGGATGCCATTTCTAGAGCAAAGACGACAGATGGAGGGATTGAAAGAGATAGAGGAATTATTTATAGTGGGTAGATTTGTCTGACAATGCTTGCTTTTAAAATAAAAGGTCAGTAGATGTAGTCACTGCTTCAATCTCAAACACATGCACGCACACACTCCTGTTACACTCGCAAGCATGGAGGTCGACACAGTTGAAAGTGCAGTACCTGCGTGGGTTGCAACCTTTTCAAAAATCAATTAAATTAAGAGCCTTGTTATTCAATTTCTGAAATCCCCTTATGATAGTAGAACACCAGAGTGGCCTCGAAAAGTCATTAAATTGACCACAGTGCGGCTGAGCTGGCACTTCGCCTTTTTCACTATAGGACAAGGAGAATGACTTTTGGGTAGTTCTCTTTTGGTCAGTGAGGGAAAACACAATGTTTAATCCCAGCAATAGAAAAAATGTCATTGGCCCAGTGGGATCTAAATCAAATTAGTATTAATTATGCCTCATCTGGCCTTCATAAAACCTTCCAGGAGGCAAGGGAGGTAAGCCTTTGTCTGGGTGTGTGCTGGTTGAAATAATAAAGGCTGCACTGTAGCTGGAAGATATCACTGACGCATAGGGTTCTTTGTGATGTTCTGCTAAATTCTGCTTTTTTGTATATTCTGCCCATTAAGGGTCAGAGATACAGCAACACATTTACTATGAATAATACACTTTTATGTGGTAATGCCAAACTTTTATGCTCACTCTAAGAAATAAAACATGTGAAACAGCATTAAATAAACATTTGAAATGTAAGGCAAGTTGAGCTCCTCGTCGTTTTGCTCTGTCTGACCCCTGTTGTGTTAGGAAATTTTCAAAATGCTGAGGTAAAATACACATACACTGAAACTCATTTATTTTTTGAAAACTAAAATTGTTTGTCCTAAAGCACCTATGTCCTCCAAGTTTTTATCTTGCACAGCTGACATGAAGCAATTTCTGCTAACTGTCATGCCACCCTTGTTAAGGTAGATTTGCTGCACTTCTACAGTAAAAACCAATTAACATAGGAACCAGAAGGGAAGTCAGAGAGCACAGACCTCCGCCGACCTATCTCGCAATGGTAACAAAAGTGAAAAATAATTTTTGTATACGCCCACGTGATTCGGATCCACTCCAAAATTGAATACTTTCTACCTTGGCCCATGCTACACCCTTCCACCAAGATTCATGACAATCAGGCCATTGGTTTTATGTAATCCTGCTGACAAACAAACAAACGACACTGAAAACATAACCTCGTTGGTGGATGTAATAAAGGTGCTGTAACAAAAGTTTGAACTGCAGGGACTTGAAGATTTGACTAGGCTGATAAATAAAAGAAAAATAAAGGCACAAACAATAATGAAATATTCAGAGCATGACTCATAAAACACTGGAATTGCTCAGAGTGTAAAGAGTTGGGGCTGCATTCATTGAAGCTCTATATTTGGTAGATGATGTGCTGGTTGTGCTGTTAACGCTGACGGTGTGGGTGGTGCTGACGTGCAGGTGGACAGGTAGGCAGGGCGTGGCCCCGTGCGCAAGCAGTGACTGTGACACGCAGTGACACGCCTAGCCCCCCTGCCCTAACAGCACCATCGGGTCCTCGTCATTCCTCTCCAATGTGGCCACCACAGAGTTTTTGATCAAGTTGCGACTCCAAACTTAAAAGCATCTTTCCATCAGTTCTGTCGAGCAAAAATCTAAAATGTTATTAATGAAACTCACCAGGGGAGCGTGTCTTCTCACCCTCTGCTGTGCGGTGGAAAGCATCAAGCTATACTTCCTTTTAAAGTCAAGGGACCCCTATTGTTTGTCGAAACTCTGCAGGGGTGCTTTATAAACCGAGACTTACCACTACGTCTTAAATTGTTATTTTCACCCCCCGGCTCTTAAATATTATCCATAGTAAATAGAAAATTACTGCTAAACTTGAAAGCTGTAACAGAGAGCCTTGGGGTGTTCTTGAACTGAAAATTAAGTTTTGATGAGAAGGTTGTGTAGGGGGTCTTCCAACAATAGAGGAACATTGAACATTACGCCACTTCCATTCATAGCTAAAAATTATATATTTGTCCTTGATTTGATTAGATATTACATTTTACAGCTGCTCCTCTCTCCTGAAACTGGAGACTCCGGAATGGTCCTGGAGGGGTTCTGTCAAGTACTTAATATATGATGGTATAATTGATGGCGGATTACTTGAACAACTGAAATGCTACCTCCTTCACAGGTCCGACTGCCTTAATGTGCTGAACGTGACCAGACGGCACCTAAACTCAACTGTTTCTGTTCATACATTCTGTTCATACATTGTGCTGATGACGGACTGGCAGGGAGGCCAGTAAACATGGTGATCTTTGGAATTAAATCTTTCAAAATCAGGGGGAAATAGCTGAATTATTTGTCAACATACCTGTACACTAACCTTGAAGGTTGAAGGGAAAGTGATAATAGCCCTGAGAGCCCATCCAAATATGAACTATTTTGTTATCGGGGCCTTTATACACTATAACCAGTAGCAAGATGGGTTGGCATTTGAACACAATAGCGACTGAAAAAAGTTGGGCAGGAAAGCTTTAGTTAAAACAGGTTGGCCATCTGTGCCAAGCCAAGTCTCAGTGACAAGCACTCTAACTTTTCTTTCACATTATGCGTTCATTGATAATGAACGGCTTATCTAAAGGGACTATATGTACGTTTTTCAATGAAATTAATCAAATTTTCATTGCCTTATTGTCTATGGGCTCAAAACTCACTTAGAAAGGAAGCACACGCCTGTTTTCTCCGTTGCTTGCATCAGCCACTATTCAGCCATGTGCGTGCTCCCGAGCCTCTCTGGTACTACAGCGACAACACGGCAGCTAACGACATGCAGTCCACTAACACCATAAAACAACCGTCTCACAGCAAAACACAGGCTTCACGTAAGGATACAAAACAACAATAAAGGTTTATGTGCTGAAGCCCATCAGACCAAACAGGTTCAGATGATGTCGAGTAAGAACAAAGTGAGCATTAGTAAAGCTGGAGCAACACAGAGAAAGTCACAGTAGCTCGCCAGCTAACGCAGGGCAGTTGCTAATGTTATCCAGTGCAAAGTTATTTCACCAACTAACGCAACCCATGTTACTATCCTGTGCACAAATGTTGATTTAGCCTGCAAGAAAGGATGTAATGGTAAAAAGCAAATGTGGAGCGATTTGTTTACTAATGTTAGCCTATAGTGATGCAGCCAGGAGCAGCCAGCTAACGCTACAGTAGCTCGGACCTGCCACTATTTGCTTCGTAACATTGAGTTTAGGTTTGTTGTGGTACCAATACTCAGATACACAGCTTCTCCAGCTCTCCGTTGCTGTAACTAACGTGACCCACATAATATACAATACTGCAAATTCACAGCAACAACAACCCAGAGGAAGAGCCATGCACTAACACTACAGTAAAGTTGCTTACTGCGGTCTTATTGTTATAAAGTGTGACACAATCTCGTTATAATATTCAGTCCAGCTCACTACCCATTTCGTTATCATCCAATACATTTAGCTGTGCTGACATTGCTGAGCCTCCGGTGAAAGATACACAGATAGGCAAGCTAACGATGTGGCACATCGGCTAAATGCAGTAAATGTACCGTGATCATGTAACGAGCATTAGTTCAACCTGCAGCTGATAAAACTATTACTGTAACGTTGTAGTAGGGGTTTACCGGAGTTTCCAGTATATTGTGTGAAGCTGTCTCCCTGCCTGTCTATAGCTGCTGTCACTCTGCCTTTTTTCCGGGAAGATTGTGCCGATATGCGGCTGGCTGCACTGAATGAAGTAACGTTACAGAGCCAGTGTTGAGCTGCCTCTGAGACGGGTACGTTGAAGTAACAGAGCCTGAACATGTCTGGAGAAAAGCCACAGCCTGCATGCTGGTGTTCCTGCGTTTATTGCAGGATTTCTCTATGAAAGTGGTTGTGGTTGTGGTTGATTATGCTTGCTCATGAGGTCAAGCGAGCACGCATATGAGCACACGCCTGGTAGCAATCTTAAAATCGCTAGTGGCCGCTGGAAACTCCATAATGCCCTAGCCCAGGTGAAACAAATTACATTTGTGCCCAAAGAATGTAGGGTATTTGGTGTGACAAGGAACAAGCAGCGACCCTATCTGTCTTAGTCATCTGTGTTTGTGTGTGTATGTGGGTTGATGCCCTGCAGATTTTGTTAGTGGTGATTTACATGGCCGAAAGAAAGTAGTGTCTTCACATACATCTGTGTTTTTCCGTGGTTTACATTCAGAGTGCTTTTGGAACTTGATACAGATGGCCATACTAAGATGGTGGGAATAAACAAGGTAAGGGTGCAGCTTGGCAATAAAATTGTGTCATTCATTGTAACCTCCTTGTTCTCCTTGAAAAGATCCATTGATCTTAATCTGCTGTTTGTAATTTTGCTTTGTAAATTATTCACAATCTTGGTCAGTCTGATAAAGCATGCGGGAGTGCAGAGCGAGAGGAAAGAGGTGGTGTCTTGTCATGTATAGAAGCTACCTATTATGTAAGACAAGGACAGGACATCGTTGGTCTTGTGCAGAGTTTTGTGTTCGTGCTGTGCGGCCGACAAATGCATGCACGTCGCGGTTCCTTGTGGGTCTATTTCAAGTACTATCTAAAAACAATATGATATTCTTTGTGTTGTTCATCAATGGTGATAAATGATCCGAATGTCCCGCGAGGTGCGGATAACTTGGCACAACAACTCTGCCACTATGGAACATCATACACTGCAGGGCTGCACACGCTACGCCTACACATGCGCGTTGACCCCCCCTTCTTTTAGAGTAATTTTGGATTTATATTGTAATAGGCTGTATATTAACTTATTGGGAGAAAACTGGTACTTCTATGTAAAATCAGACGTTGAGCACCCCCATATCGCCAAAATGGCATGATCCTCATTTTGTTTCAAGTTTCAACTGTGAGATTGACAGTTGAATCAGGCTCCGCCCATCTAAGCATCGAACCTTCGACTATGCGGGGTCAGCATTAGTGTTCATTTACATACTAAACAAACAGCAAGATGTTCAAAATCAAATCAAATACAACATAAGCTATTGTTTTCATTTATAGTTCACAGGGAACCTCTTGCAGTGTAGCTGATGTGAATTGCTAGGCATTAAATGTTCATCTGCAATTCTCTGTAGTGGCCAGTAACATTTGTTCTTGCCTGAATCTTGTCCCATGACATGGTTAAGCTATGTTTGAGACTGAGAACATGACCACAAATACTGATATACTGAATATCTTGTAAAACTACTTGATTCTGCTGGCAAAATATTATTTACACAAATGTAGATCTCCTCCTGTCCTGCATTTAAATAAAATAAAAAAAGTATATGTAGCATATGATCTTAGATGTAGGTATTGTATTGAACTAATATCATGTTCTACAAATGTCTGTTTGAATTATTTGATAAAATGTGGAAAAAAATTCTAAAACCTTCTGGCCAGGAAACTGGCTTTGTAGTTGCTGTACAGGATGCCGTTCAGTCACACAAGTAGAGACGCAAAGAGCAGTGTTCACAAGCAGTGACTGCCATTGCAACACCTGCTGGCAACATAAAATAATATTAAAACACTGAGCGGCAGGGAAAAGCAGTTTTGCTTTTTTGATGATGATTATTTTTGCTGTGTGGCAAAGCCAAAAACAGTAAAAGTCTTTTTCTTCCTCTCTGGAAGTTTGCAGTCTCTTTCCTGGTGCACTGCGCTGATTACAATATAGCGTCACCACATAGGCAATTGCAGTTGCAAATGACAGAAATCCACAAAGGGCAATGCTTGCTAGACAATACTGTTTACCATGAAGATACCCGTCAGAGTTTTGTCAAGAGTTGGAGGCAACACATCACGTAATTGTCAGTGCAGGAAAAAACCTACTATGCCCTGGAAAAACTGGCACTTTTTGTCATTTTTTCCCCATTTTTGGTAAGAATTCTAACCTATGCACCTTTTTTTGTGAGCATCAAGTAGAAATGATTCACAGATATAGTGGGCAAATTAGAGGTCAAATTCCTAACATGATTAGGACATTTACAGGACATGTACTGTATCTGTACAATGAACCAGTAACTCCAGGGTTTCTATAAAGAAACTGCTTGGCCCAAGTGAAGTGGTAAAGCCACCTATATCCTACATCCTAAACACCAGCCACACGTATTCAATATATGGCCTTTGCTGTTTGAAATGGCTCCTTTGCTGAAGGTTAATGTTGTATCGCATAAACATCTGTTGTTGTCAGAGGAGGTGGTTTTTGTTTTGTTCATAGTACCTTTGCTATTATACACTGCAGGAAACCTTGAATTCTTCCTCATCTGCTGTCCCCTTCAGTCATGTAGCAAGAATCCTACTCAACCTCCAACTATCTATCTAACTAGCACTATGGAACTCTTCCAATCAGGATGAAATAGGAACAATGTGTTGCAAGTATCTGTATATCTATGTATGTGTGCGTGCACCTGCATAACTCACCCTTCGTAAAGGTTGCAGGTATCCACACAGGTTCGTCCACGGCTGAAAAATCTGCAGGAGAGGCACTGGTCTGGGCCAGGACCCCAACACCCTGCGTCTGAACACAGCGGGTCACACACCATGTGCTCCTTAGCTGCTCAATACACACATACACAAAAAGAAAGCACTTTGGTGACTCAGTGCAGAAGCAGAGAACAAACCCCAAATTGCCCCAAATTAGCTCGATACAAAATTAGCCAAAATAGTCCCATTATTTATGAAAAGACACAGAGCTAGACGTACTAAGACACACGCAATTTGCGAGGGTTCATTTTTGCATTAAATTTCTACGCCTCCGCAGAACAGCTGTTAATTTGCAGTGGTTTAAAAAAAGGTGTATTTTTGTGGGGATGACTTTCCTAAACAATGGCAGGAGAAATTACAGCAAGACACATGAATAGGTTTAGTTCTTAAAGACATGAGCTGGAGGACTACGCTATTTCTATTCAAGGAATAAGACATTGTCAAACAATATGCATTAAAACAATCACACAATGATTACTCTCCTGGATGAACTGATAGACAACCTAGTTCCTCCCACAAAATGGTCCGATTCGATCCCACCAGCAGTTTTTAAAATGTTACATTAATTAGGTCATCTCAGTCAAGACTGTGATGGGCGTCCTATGTGTGTGTGTGTGTATGTATATATATATATATATATATATATATATATGCTGAATCATCAGTGACGAAGCATTAATTGGAGCCAGCAAGCACCGGCAGATGCCATGCGGCCTTGTTGACTGATTTAACTTATAGAAGATTAGACAATAAATAAACCCTTTAACTTTATTGTCCACATTTACTTGAAGGGTTTAATTCACAACACAGCCTTTTAGCTCTCTTTGGTGTCAAAACGCTTGAATATATAAATAGGCCTATTGAATCTTAACATTACATTTTTTCTTTTTTTGTTTACAAACTAAACAGTACAATCATTTGTTGTGTCTTTGGATAGTCATGAAAATTTATTGTAAAATCCACCTTTGATTTAGAAAAAGACAAGCATGAAAAGTGTGGGTTTCATTTACTTTGGATTGCATTCATTCACAGAGAGAAAATGCCCCTTTCTCCCAGCCCTTTCATTGTGAACAATCTGGATGCTGTTCTCTCCATTTCTGCTTTGCTGTTTCTCATATAGTACTAACAGACTCAGGCCATAACATCTCTCTTATCTTTCTCTCTCTCTCCCCCATTGTCCCCCTTCAGCACTCGGCCTTGCTATATCTGAGAGCATTACAGTGACAAAATGAGAGTGGTGAAGTAACATGGTGACAGAACTGCAGATACACTTGGAACTTTTATCATCCCGTCGGCGTCTGATGTGATTTCCCACTTGTCGGCAGATTTTAAAAGAGACTTTTCTCTTCTCGATATCTATGGCCATGGTTATAAAAAAGGCCACTGCTATTTTCAAGGTCCCGGCCACATGTAAGCCAGGGCTATGCCTCAGTGTCAGCCATAGCCATGTCCAAAATGCCTAAAATTTCAGACAAAATGATGCAGATACATGGAGAAAACATGCAAAACAAGTGTCTTCTTTTAAGGGCAGAGGATGAAAGCATTGCCTTTCACAAGATCAAAACTACCTCTGTTAGGCTTCCAGTGCCTAAGGTAAACTGACCGGGCAAAGGGAAAGGTGAGGAGAAGGAGGAATGATGGTTGCTGAAAAGGAGGAAATAAACAAGGGAGAGGAGAGGTTGGATGGCTTTTTAACTATACAGCACTCGAAAGATCAAAAAGATACCAACTTCAGATGTTTCTGACACGGTTGAAAAACAAAAGCCCATGGGGCTTGAGCTGACAGGTGCCTTTTTGAATCCCATGGGAGACAGGAGAACAGGCTATGATGATGATTATGATAAAGGCTTGTAACAGGCAGGAAAGAGGGAAGGAGAGAGAAAGAGAGAGAGAGAAGGAAAGAAAGAAAATGGATATAAGGAAAAAAAACAGCCAAGTCAAAGAGAACTAAATAAAAATCAAGAGGACACAAAATAAAACTAAAATAATGAGTGAACAAACAAACACTTGTCAGATAACTATAATAATGGTAAACAGAATAAAAGGGTTGTGAGGACAGGAGGTGTAGTTGGAAATCAACTGTTGCCTTAAGTTTCCTGCATCCCTTTCTTCTGCATCAAAGGCAGAGAAAGTAAAGCAGTGCAGCCATTGAAAAGGCTAAAGAGTTAGGCAGGATAAGGATTATCCTATCCTAAATGGGTTTGGTATGGTATTTATTTATTTTATTACTAAAGCTGTAATGTCGGAATTTTGGTGTAATCAGTTTCAAAATACATAATTTAGAAATTATACAATGAAATATTTTTAGATCTTTAGAAAACCAAAAATATCAACCTGAAGAAAGGTTCTTCACATGGTAAAAAAAAAATCAGAGAAGTTCTTGTGATATGTTATCAATAACATTTCTCCATTACCTTGGACACCAAGGTACAGCCTATGATAATTAAAATGACCTGTGTAGGTCTATGATGCATGTGCAGTGCTCTGCCTTTAAGACATGCAACAACATTTTTGTATTCTTATCTCAACTTTCTCATACTTTTATCGTAAGGTGTGCTTATATGTGTGTTAATTTTTCCAAATAAGATTCAGCAAACTAACTTCACATAACTGTGTAAATGACCCACGTAAACATGATGAATGCCTTCTGTGTTCAGGAAGTGTTCATTCATGAAAAAGACACTGAAGCATGAAAAGAAGAACTTTATGACTTCAGAGATCCATGAAGGAAAGTTTTTCATTTAACAGTGTCAGCAGTGGAATTAAGAGAATAGGGTTGGATTGCTGTGTCTGTCTGCGGAGTTGCGGCTCTAACAAGTTTCACATTTGCAGAAGCACAGCCGTGGTAGTCTAAACCAAGACAACCTTTCATCTGTCTCTGGCAATATATCAGAACTCTGTCACTCTCTTCCAGGGGCCCGCCGCATTAAGGCATCCAAAAGATTACACTCCCATCTGACCTTGTTAAATACAGAGACAAATCAACCTTAAAAAATTAAATTAAATTAAAAAAATAAATTTGTTCTGAGAATTTAAATGAATGATGACATCATTAAGCTATATGAATACATTTATACTCCAACTGCAGGGTCAAAACTCAGGTTTAAACTCAGAATTGTTTCAAAGTAATGAAATATATAATCAATTACTGAAAAGAAATGGGTTGGTATAACAGCAGACTAATTGCACATGACTCCTACAACAGGTCTAGACCACTCCTAAATTGTGTGTGTACTGAAGAGAAAATTGGTGAATGCATGCTCCTAAATCACTTGTACACACCACTTAAGAATAAATCTGTTTGTATGAGGCTCATTGTTGCGAAGGCCAGCGTTATGAAACAGCCCTTTCTGGATAGGGTCTATTCTACTGAGTGCATTGATGGGGATAATATTGAATTAGCAATTTCTATCCGGAGATTTGACCTTCTGAAGAAGTGTGTGAAGAAAACAAAAGTCTTTTCTCTCTCATATATTACCCCAAGCCCTGCTCTCTAAAAATGTTGTTAAAAAACACTGACATTTTATTGCTAATGAGCCATCACTCAACAGTACGTTTAATGACCCTATGATAAGCTCTGTGATTCCCTTTTGTCAAATATTTGCCCTGATGAAGTTGTAGTAGCTGAGCTTGAATTTATTATTTAATACTTGCTTTGGAACAAAGTGAGCAGATCTTTGAGAATGGAAAAAAAAATGTCTGACTTGCACACCACGGTTATCTACCACCAGATATGGACTCAGTAGGCTAACTTGTGAGATATTGTTAATACTCATAATGGTTTAACTTGACAAAAGTCCTCTGAAACATAGTAACTCTGTTCACGATCAGACTTTAATCAGCTCAGTGCAAAGCGATAGGTATTTAAAAAATACAAAGAGAAACCAGACAGACTTGTAGTTTATCAATTACACTCCAAAAAACTGTGGCCTTAATAAGTGAGCAGAAATTTGACTTGTTTGACAACAATTGTGGCTAACTTTTAACTTCAACTAATGAAGCTTCTTGGATGAGAGGTGAAACATCTTCAATCCTACAACAATTATATTTCATTTCAACTTGACCTTGTACTACCTGGATGAATGACCACAAGAACAGGCCTAGTGGAAAGTTTTGTAATCTAGATGAAGTATGATTTGAAAAAAACCCAAAAAACTTTGATAGCACAAAACATGACTTTGTTCTTAGTCGCGTCTGCTAGCTAACTCTATAGCACTAAGTTGGCACTTCAGCTCACAGAAAGTGCTACAGTGGAAATTGGTTTTCACTTGGTTTTCTGGTTTCTCTAATTGCCCAATGACATTTCTACATCACTACAACTACGCATGTACTCGAATGAAAATATGGGCATATGCAGACTACTTCTCCTCTGTTTTTGCTGCACTGTAAGGGGGCAAGACCCGCCCTTTTCCAGTCCCTGCTAGGCTCAGTCAAGTGTAGACACACACACACTCTGATGCACACAGAGCGGTGTGTGACTTTTGAGTCTCACCCAACGTCTTCAAAGTCACAGAAGAGAGAGAGTCTGTGTGTGTGTGTGTGTGTGCGCGCGCCCAACACTAAGGAACTGCCCAGGGGAAAGGAGCACATGAACAGCAAAAAGGGGCCAACTCAATAATGCAAATACTGGCTCATTAATGAACATTATACATAAATGAATAATTGTGGCAGTGATATAATAAAAGCTCTTCCATTTTTAGAGACACCGCTTTTGTCTCATCACTTTGGATATTTGCCTAATTTAATTTGGCCAAACCTTGCCTTCTCTGAATGGTCCTGTTGGTTAATTGGTCTGATTATGGGATTATTTTAGTTATTGTTTTTAGTTGTCTTTAGAAATGAGTGCAATAATATCTTCTACTCAGACAGAGAATATTAGACATGATAAGTGTGTTTCTGCTATTACTATGTTCAGTATCAGTGCTGCTTTCTGCAGGAGCGTAGTGAAGACAGATTGTCTCACCTAGATAATCGACCTGGTTTTAGAGCTTGAGCATTGATCTAATACAGGTTTTTGCCACGACAAAGCAAGGCAAACTATGTTTGATGGACCTCCATTTCTGTTTTGGTACAGGAACACAAGAGTTTTTGATGTTTGTGATGATTTTGGTATGAACTTACAGCACTTCTGTGGGCTTTGGTTGTTGCGGATCAGAACTTTCTGGTTTGCAGTGCGGAACAGTCTCGTCCAGTTGACAGTGTTGTAGTAGCAAAGCTGGCTGTTCTCTGCGATGTGGACATTCCCAGCGCTGATCTCTCTTAGGGACTGGAGCTGCAGTGATGAGATGCCCTGCTGCTTTAATACCAGCAGGGAGATCCCACTGAGAGGGAGGAAAGGGTTGAGGTGAGAGGAAGAGAGGGCCAGACAGCAGGGAAAGAAAGATGAGAAGAGCAGGGAGAGGAAATTGGGGGGGAAAAGGGGGAAAGGAGAGGAGCAGAGTAGATGGATTTATTTCATGGGTTTTGACAGCAGAGTTAGGTTCTTCAAAAAAATCCAATCTTTGTTCTGTCATCATGTCATGTGGCCTATTTATGAACATTGTATGATTCGCATACCCAACTTTCTCTCCATCAAATAATGTTCACGTGCAAAAAACCCCTACCCTTTAAAGGGGAAAAGTAATGCTGGCTAGAATACTGTATCTAAAACTTAAATCATGTGGTTAAGATTGGGGAGGGATGGTGTTCATGATTAAATAATAAAAACAAACCGGCTGGATGGAAATGTGTGAGATTGCAGTACAAAATCCAAATAGAACATTGAGGAGGGTGCGGCTGCTCAGTGGAAAACTCACATTCAATATGTTAAAGGAAACATACAGAGAAAACATACTTCAGTACTAAGGTGAGAAAACAATTAGCTACATTCCAATGTGCTCCTAATTTGAAGAAATACTACCATTAAACAACACTAGCAAAGTATGAGAAAGGCTACTGATTATCCCCACCATGGTCTGGTTTGTGTAGAATAATTATACCACAATATAGTCATTTCACCATGATCTAGAACAGGGGTGTCAAACTCATTTTCACCAAGGGCCACATAAACATTTCGGTTACCCTCAAAGGGCCAGTTGCAACTGTAAGACTGTAAACATAACTACTCCTTAACATATTGTTAAATAACTGTCTCTTTATTTGATTATGTATTCAAGTTAAGGACATTTATCAGATGTAAAAATATAGCCATAGTAAGAAAATTTCTCTGTGTTATTATAACGTAAATAAATGAATTTATCAGATTTAAAAACCCATTACTCCATCAATCAAAGATCAAACATTTCAAGTGAATAACAAAGACAAATATCATCAAACATAATCTTTTACAGTAACTTTTCACTTTTTCACAGTCCAGAGGTGCAGAACCATGGTAAAAAACAAATAATTGTGAGCTGCTAATAACAGATGGACAGATGAGACATTTGATAAAACTGCACACAGCCTTGCTGAGGGCATACGTCCAACTAATGAGAGATGGTTTGATTAGCTGGAAAAATGCAGACATATGGGCTACCGTAGCCTATGCCTAGTTCACACTACACGATTTTTAGCCCGATTTGCCGCTCGGCGAGCTACATAAGGATGTAGGCTGTGATCGGGAGAAAATCAGTGGTTGATCTGCGGTCGCCAGTCGTTGTGTGAACTACTCAACGACACATTTCTGACACATCACCGAAGTCTGCCACATATCTATCATGCCAAATATCTGTCAGAGTCGGCCGACTCGACATCCACATCCAGCCAATGAGAGCAGGCAGCGACTTTTTCACTGCACATTTCACTCACATCCAGCTCTCTCTGACACAGACAGTCTCTGCTACCTGCGTGTGCTAATCATGGTGCTAATCCATCCTTTCACCCGTATTCTTTGTCTTTACAATTGGTATCTTTATAATAACAAACAACCGCTGTTTTATGTGTAGGTTCGCGTCATTTCCCGTTTGACATTTCAGGTGTGTTTTCGAGACCAGCGTCGGGTGACAGAGTCGTTGTCAGCTCCTGCAGTGTGTGACCTCCTGTCACCGATCAGTCACGTAGTGTGAACGCAAACAACGACTTCAAGACTTCCGTCACAAGACGGCAAGTTGTGTAGCTTGACGCTGAAAGTCGTGTAGTCTGCACGAGCCTTAACTAACGTTGATCCTTCATCACTGATACTGCCTCATAACACAAAAGACAAACATGTATTTCATGAAATTGCCTTCCTTCTGCATCAATTTTTCTCGTCTTAGACATTTAGGGATTGTTTGTATACATTTCTCATCTCCACTTGTCGGAAAATAATGGCGGGATGCCCTCACTTCTCGGGTCACAAAATCGACTTGCATTGTGGGAGATGTAGTTTATGGCAGCATAGACTTCTATTTTAGGACAATCATGAATCTTTAAAGCTTTTGCGGGCCACATAAAATGACGTAGCGGGGCGGATTCGGCCTTGAGTTTGACACATGTGATCTAGAAGCTTTAATATTCAATCTTCTTTCAATACACTGCACGTGCTTTATTTTTGCTGTATTTTTTCTGTTTCCACATTTTCCTGCTGCAACAATATAACATGTTTTTTTCTCTTTCTTTGATTGCTCAAAGCCTACCCCCCTTAAGGCTCCACTTGAACACTCTAAAAGTGACAGCAGGCCAATGGGGTGCGGGATCAAGCATGGGATAAGGGTAGTTGGCAGGCTGTAATTTATACTGCAGCCTGCTGTTTCCTTCTGCAGGTGGATGACACACATGTGAACATCCCACAATCCAGACTATGCCATCAGCTGCTCAGACAATTTGTTTCCATCCAAATGTCACAGTAAATTTCAGAGCACCTTTAGAAAAATCACTAAAAATCAAAAGATAAATTACTATGTTCTACCAAATGGGTTAAAACAACTAAGTTGGCTTCTTAAATGTCAAAACAAACAATTATTTGGTTCCAACTAATGTTAGATCCCAAGTCGTCACATATGCATGCATGGTCAAGACCTGTTGGCGTCAGTCTGTAAAGCACTGTGGTAGGTCAATTTCAATTTCAATTTCAAAACAATTTATTTATCCCCATGGGGCAATTGCGAGACCCGTAGATTAGTACAAGTTAGGGTTAGGGTTAGGGTTAGGGCTAACCAACCGGAAGTGAAGGCCTAGGTGTAGGATATTTACCAGAAAAGTCAGAAACCAGACTTTTTAAGCCAGGTGACCAGCGTTTGTTTCCCATGTGAAACAAAAAGTCAACATAGAAAGTTTTTATTTAAGTTATGTAGGTTACATAAGTTGTGTAAGTAATGCAAAAAATTGCAGAGCAACGCAGACACAATTGCACAAGTATAAATGCCTATGACGGCGCGGATAAACCAATAAACAGTTTGGCCAATGGTTTCACGCTATTCCACTGATCAAAACCTCACGGTAATGCTGCAAGATATACAGCAATGTGTCAACAAAGGCAAAGAAGAAGAATAGTGCTGGCTAGTAATCACGGAAGTTAATAATGCAGCTTAAAACCTTTAAGAAGAATTAACGATGCGAAGAAAATGCACTCGACATGTTTGTTATACGTCAAGGATACATACAATAGGTTTTGTTGCCTGATACTGAATGTAAACAGTTTTTGTTTACAGGGAAACTCCACAGGGCACCTTTAATTGTGTACAATTCTAATAACATTGTAACTGATTTTGTGGGATGGTTTAATACATCAATTTATTAACACATTACTTTTCCTGTCCAAGTACTAAGCTCTGTTTGAGGCAGTGTTGACACGCTCTGGTATAAATTACACTCCTGGTCTAAAAAACATCCACTCACAGCAAAGCTATTATGTTCTCAGGTGCGTACCTGTACAGCGCTCTTCCCCCAATAGTTGCCAGGTTGGAGAAAACACTCAAGTCTGTCATGTTGTCAGGCCAAGACTGGATGTTCAGAAAGCCTAAATGGGGGCACACACACACACAGAGGTTATAATGAGTCACCAATACTGACAGACTAGAATCAGCTGTCTATCATATCCTCTATTTCACACAGTGACAAGAATAAAATGAGTAGGGAGAGTTGGCATCTCTCTGGAATTAGCAACATTCCAGGACCACAGTAACCACACCACCTGAGTCTCATCAGAAAGCAGCCAAGCACTTCTAAGCCAGAAAAATGTTATAGGCACAGAAAGTCCACAGAGGAGTTTGGTGCCAGCTATGACGAGTGGAAAGTTGGATATATCAATATTTTTGCATTTCCTTTATCTGCCTCTCTGCTTTTGAATCATTTAGAAGATTAAATGAATAGCTGAGAGGATGGCTGTGGCTCATTTAGGATTTTCAATAATGGATTCAGAAATATGAAATATTTAGCAGGGAAATGGTAGGGGGGTACAATCCCCAAGCCAGTACCGGAGGACAAACAAAACAGTTGGATGAGGCTATGAGACCACGGGAAAATGCACAGAGGGTAGGGGAGTAAAGGTAAGAGATGGTGGAAGTAAGGGAAGTCTAGGTAACATGACAAAGAAAACACAAAATGTCAGAAATTGCTTTGGCATTAAAAGAAAACACAGAGGTCACATGCTGTTCTTGTATTGCCATCCTGACAAAGGGGGAAGAGAAAGAATGTTTTCTCTCACCATCCGTGGTGATGGATGGTGAGAGAAAACCTTGGTGTGATGGGCAGTGTGGTGCATTCTCCAATCAATGAACAGTATTTTTGACTCCATTATATTAAACTGTGTGCTTTCTTCCCGCAGGATGCATAACTTTGTTTATCCAGAAATGGAGGGATGGTGGGGGTGGGTGGGGCGTAAAGCCGAGTTGCAAAGAAGGCCGCTCGTGGCTTGTTGACAAGAGAGCAGTAACCTTCAACAGCACGTTTATCAGTTTGTGGAGATCGTTTTGTTTGTTATGTCAATCCCAGCTGAGCAGCGGCACGGTCTGAGCGAACGCTTATTAAGAGTGTTTGATGAGAGAAAGAGAAAAAAAAAAGGGGGAGGTAATTGTGAGGAATCACACACCAGGGCTCATGAGCTGAATTTGATACACATCCTCACACTAGAGCTATTCTTCTTGTGCAAGAGCACAAATCTTATAACCAAACTGGCAAAGATCCTCCAAAATAAATTCAATATTATCAAAACTTTCCTAAATGGAAAACTGGTTTTATGTGATATAAATGTATAAAATATGTTACAGGAAATGTTTTTGTTAAAGCTAACAACAGTTCTGGTATTTGTCAATCTTCTTCATGATGATGATGGCTTCTTAGCCCAGAGGCAGCAGTGCTAAACATCAGTGTTGTACTTGTTGGGCCTAATTATCTTAATTGACAAACGCTGCAGTGCTGAGGAACCTCACAGCTCCACCACAGTGTTCTTTCGGGGATGGGGTGCTTCCTAAACAAGGTAACATTTTACTGCCTGTTGCATATTTGCCTGTGTTAATGTAATACTGGGCTAACATCACACATGCTACATGCTACTTGTACAATGTAGATACAGAATCTCTGCAGACAGTTCCTCAACCAACCAGGTAGAGAACATGGATGACTGATGTTCACCAACGTAGTTGTCAACACTACGAGCCTTAATGAGACACTTCAAGGTGTGAATGTGAGTGTAGTGTGTGTGACGCAGAAAACAAGGTGATGTTGGATCTTATTAGCACTACTCACTTTAGAATTGCAGCTGTTTCAATAAACAAAGAGAAAAGAGGAAATGATGAGTTGGGGAAAAAAATAATGTAGCCTTCTTATCAGTTTTTTTCACATTTTTCTCACCTTTCTGAATGAGTGCTTTTGTGCAGAAAAAGGCAAAGTGAAAAGATCACCTAGCAGTGATTCATGTTCTTCCGAGAGCCACATCAGTGGCACACCAATGCACAAAGCAAATTACAGCGTGGAGCCACTTAGAGTACAAGGCCATGAGCTCGCAAGCAAAGGTTAAGAGTGCTTAAGTTGTGGTGATTACATTCCGAGTCACAACACTGAGAAACCCACTTATGTTAAATTGCGAGAGCTGATCGCCCACTGTTTGGATGAAATCTGAACTGGAGATATGTCTTTGAAGATGCTGAAAGAAAGAAGGAAGAGTCACTGAAAGAAAGAAAGAAAGAAAGAAAGAGTGAGAGGAGAGAGAAAGACGGGTTTGCTGGTGTGAAGAATGAGCAGCTCATTTGAAAGCTAGAGCAATGCTAGTTGTGACCTTGGGGTCACAGAGGCAGGTTGGCTGCCTGTATCAGAAGTCACATTCTCTTGACAGCTAGGAGAGATGACAAGCTGAGCTGACACACATCTCTGGCTACATGGTGTTTGGCCAATGGTTTGTCCCCACCTCCTGCTTTCAAACTGCCATCAATAACCAAAAGAGAAAATAACAAACAAAAATCTGTTGAAAATCAAATTATTTACTGTGTCTAGGTTATTATTGCACTTAGCATTTTCAGATGATATAGGTTTGTTAGTTTGTTTTGTCTTCTTCTTGTTTGATTGTAACATCTGCTTGGATTTTTCTTTCTGTTCCTATCCATTTTCTCTCTATCTGTTTCCCCTCTGTTAAGATGTGCTTGGGGTAAAACGATCACTTCATTGTCTACCAATGGATCGCAACTTGTTGGAAAGACAAACCAAGTCGATGTAATTTGTGGGCTGAGCTGTAGTTAACTTCTGTGGTCAGTTGCTTTTTTCCTACACCGGAAGGTTCTAAGGATATTAATAAAATCGTATCATTTTGATGCAGATGTTAAGAGTGGTTAACTTTGAAACACATTTAGATCATACATAGGGATGTAAAGCATGAGCAGTAACAGAGCAGGTAAGAAAACCCAATACAGGCACGAATCAGCCACTACCACTACATTTATCCTGGCATGTAATGTTGAGCATGCATTTCCCCATATGTTTCATATAAAGAATGTTACCATTAGTGAGGTGGTAACAGAAATAATTTATTTCAGTGTATATTCTATAGATGCTTTTTACTACCAACCACAACATATGCTCAGTCCCAAGTAAATATATGTTTTTAAGAGGAAAGGGGGATACTGTTTCATATAGCTTTAACAGTCATAATTTCTCATTTCATGAGGTAGTGTCACATTGGAGATACAAGGTTTCTTTCAGATGGCATTGTCAAACGTCTGGTCTGGAAATATGACAGTATACATGCAGCTCAGAATGTGGTGGTGACATAGGGGAGCTGGAGGATTAACGATGCGCACCACATGTTCTGGATCTTTTCTTCATGGTGCGTGAAGCTGCGACTGTGGGACTCAAGGCTAGGGACTCCCAGAGGGAGAAGCAGCAGAGAGACAGAGGAGATTGAAAGACTCATCTGATATTCATCTAATGCTGCAATGTCTGTCCTCGGTGTGGACAGTCTCAGGGGGGAGGGGGGCAGTAGACTTGAGAAAATACACACACAAGCATTACATTTGCATATGCACACTATATGGCATACCAGTGGAAGAAAAGGGACAAAGAGCACATTTTTTGTTTATTTCTTAATTTGCATGCATGTGCTGAGATGAGTGCTGTAAGTGATATTACTCACCTGTGATTTCTCGAACAGTGCGGAATACATTGAGTTTTTCTGGGTCCAAAGCTTCAATGTTGTGATAGACATCCCTGTGAATGATAATGGGAGATCAGGATGACATAAACAACAACAGAAAGATCACCGCAACTACATTTTATAATGCATAGTTAAGCAAAATGTGTCTTCATCACAACAATGGAAAATGAGCTGCTCCCACACAGACACAGAACATGACAATTTAGAATATCAGTTAAAAAAAGTTTAGCATGTGATCTTTGTGTAGTATGTGTTTCTATAACAATAATTTGTGAATGATTACTTACATCTATCCATCCATAATATATGCACGTCTGCTTTGTCTTCTGCAGTCACTCTCTACTCTCATACATGCCACACTATCCCCACAGCACTTCTTAGAAATACGTACTTTATGAGCATGTACATTTACCAGCACTCTTCTTACTCTCAAGGCACTGTCAGCTTACTCACTTCCCGCTTGCCATCCCTGATATTGGTAAGATTATTTATAATAATTCAAACAATTACCAGTATGCTGACACTTATTTCGGGCTTTTAGGTGACACTCTTATCTCAAGCAATTTACATTAAAAGTGAAATGTGTGAAAAAAGCTGTGTAATATTTGCAATGTATTTGGACCCAAAGTTATTGATGCTAAATGCATTTGCTGAGGTGCAGACGGAGCTGAGATAAAAAAGCATTATAATAAATAATATATATTTACATTATTAATATTCCATATAAAAATATAGAATTTTATAATTTTTTCTGATTGATCAAACAATTTTATTATTATTATTAATTTTATTATTTTAATTTTATTTCAAAATTGTCAATCCAGGACCTTTACACTTTATTTCATCGTCTCTTAAACTGAGAAGCAAAATGTTCTCATCTCTCACCCTTTGATGCCAGTGATGAGGAACACCAGGTTACCATTGATTTTGGTGCAGTTGACAAACTTGTCAATGTTGCTGGAGTCCACTGTCTGCGCTGTCTGTAGGCTGGCGGTACCAATGCCATCACACGCTGGAACACACAGGGAGTTCGCAAAACCCATTAGTTTGATTAAATGTCTTTAAAAAAACAATTTTTTTAAATAAACAATACTGATGGTTTTTTAAAACAGATGTGACTATATATGGTGGTGCAGCTGCTCGACCTCATTTCAGTGGCATTTTTAGGATTTCTCAAAAAAATTTTAAGTAACATTTTAGGTCAGTTTGAAGATGAGCACATCCCTCCTGTGTTAGGCAAAAAGCAATCCAGCACATTTCAAACCAAACTTGAACTGGTGGTCTGATGTGAAAAACAGTTAACAGGCCAGTGACAGTCCTTTTTGTTTATTGTGGCTATACACATGTCTCAGAATAAATGTGGTAAAGATTTATTGATGTTCAACTGCTATGTGATACACTGTCAATAATTATTTGCTGTAACAACTTCATAAAAGGCTAAATAAATATTTGCGGTTCACCTTTTGGGCAGATGTCAGTACAAGGAATGCACATCTTAATGCGGTTCTCTTCCACCTCCATTTTGTTGCTGGGACAAGCTCTCACACAGGAGCTATGGTCCACCACAAAGTTATCTGAAAAACAATTCATTGTAAATGTCAAGTACAGATGGCTTCTGTTTGTCACACAGGAACATACTTTACAATAAGTGACACTTGGTGTAGGCAAACACAGAAAAAAAGTGTTGAAAGTCACTTTCATTCACTTTGTCTGACTGATGCTATCCTGACTACGACCTCATGTTTGGAGTTTTTAGGCTGCCAAATTAAATATTAAATTAAATCGATGCTTAATTATATGTCCAGTGTTAAATATTCATTAATCAGTGAAAAATAATTCTGGTTTCCTTCCACCATCCAAAGACATGCGTGCCAGAATTAATAATTTCACAGAGTTATTGTTTGTTTTCTACCTCAGGAACTATAGGGGGATGATAAGCAAGCCGATTATTGAGATGAGTGGGTTCCTAGCCACTCTGGACCACCAAAACCCTTAACAATCACCTTCATCCCTCCCCTCTCGACCCTTCCATCCCTCCGTTCTCGACCCCTTCTATCCCTCTCCTCTCGACTCTTCCATCATAAATACTTTGTTAGTGAAATGCAGTATGCCACATAAAAACTACCACAAAAAAACAAGCAAATAAAGTCCCTCTACATTTTATGTTACCTTTTAACCAAGCCTAAAATTCACACAACCATGACTCACACTTTAGCAGTAAGGGACTTCCATCACACTACACATTTAAATGGTTACACAATACTGCATCTTATAACATCCCCAAGAACATGTCACACTTCCATCCCTGCTAGTTGGCATTTTCATTGATGTTGGCATCTACAATTAGCAGTTAGAGGAGATATGACGGTGATGCAGAGCAAACCCTCTGCTTCTTTATCACCAACCTCAGGGGAGAGGCGACGTTTCAAGGTAGACAACTCATTAAGATGAAAGAGTGTTGGGTGAGACCTTGACCAGTACAACTGCGAGATGTGTGTTAGAGAATAAATGAAGATTTACTTTATTTAAGTATTTGTTTGCTGCTCAAGGTTTTACTTTCAATAGACCTCCTTTCATGTCAAAGTATCATAGCAATAGAGTGACAACCCAGTCGGTTCCAATTTACCAAATTACTTAGTGTCTGATTCTTTGGCATTGGATATCTTCATGGTGGAAATGGTGCAAAATACTGATTCTTATGAGTACTGACTCTAGCTGGGCTTGCGTTTCTGCAGAGATCCATAGCCCATTGCAAAAAACAAGGTATTCAGCAAAAGGACCAAACACATGTTTCCTCCATAATCCCTTCTCTACATGTCATAGCCCATATTGACAAGTCTGTTAGGCCGTTCCACACCACTGCCAAATGTGGAGCAGGGCTAAAATTCAAACGGCCTCTTAAGTGACGGGGGCCATGCCTTGTGCCATAGTTCAGTGAGGCCTGAGCGGGGAGGTGAAATGCACAAACCCCAGTCATTCTTGACACCAAAATGGCACTGCAAGTCTTGTTGTTGCTGATACTGGCCACACTGATTTTACCACCAACCTGTGTTTGCCCAGATTACATGTTATGCAAAAGACACGTGGCCCCAAAGCCCCACCGCCTTGTGTTTATCATGAACACAGAGCCGTGGGTGTTGTGCAACTTTCTATTCTCTTCCCTTATAACCACTTGGATGTGTAGATTACACAAAAAAAACCACACCACCAGATCTCAACCCAAATCACCTATGGGAGGTTTTAGATGAATGTGTTAGAAAGCCTCCCAACCCTTATTGGAAGAAATGTGTGTCTATCCCTCCAGTAGAAATCTGCAGAATTGAAGAATCTATTCAAAGGCCCATTGAAGCTAGGACCATGGTTTTGGAAATGGTGAGGTAAGGGTTTAGTGGCTAATGTGTAGAAATAGAAGCAAACACTCAAAACTAAAGAAGGCTTTGCCCTATCTATCCCTCCATCCATCCATCGTCAACCGCTTATCCTGCGTACAGGGTCACAGGGTTTGCCTTATCTATTCATGCCCAATTCATAACAGTAAATAATCCATTTTCTTTACTTTCCTCCCCTCTCCTGTCTGTCTGAAGACCATGGCATTTAAAACACAAATCATGAATGCTCACACATGGTACATCAATTTTACACTTGTACTTCAAACAGAATGTATTCCCTTGCTCCTTCCCCCGACCTTAACCATCACAACTCTATCCCCAACCTTAATACCCAATACCAAGTATTAAGCCTTAAACAGCCTTTTGTGGAAGTGAAGGCCAGGAACAATGTCCCCTTTGCAAAACATCGTCATTACCAAGGTCTACAACTCTAATTGGTCCTTACAAAGATAGACATACAAGAGAACACAAACATGCATGCAAGTTATGTTTAGAAAACACAAGACAAGCTGTTTTTCACTTAAGATAAATGGTTAGGGAATTTATGTAATCCATGTAAGGTCATTGCAAGTATTGTCGTAAAGCGTCAGTGTGTGTGTGTGTGGGTGTGTTCCATGTGGTCAGACTTACGTGGACACTTCTTGACACAGAAGGCTCCATAGGTGTACTTCGCCCTGGGATTGTGTTCCAGCTGGAAGGTGGTGGGGTTATAGACAAAAGGCTGGGGGCACTGGGTCACGCATGCCCCACTGTCATTGAAGTTGGTGCAGGCCTGCAAAATCACATACAGACACAATCACATACACATAAAACACACACAGTGGTGTATTTAGGTCATTTCACCCAAATGAAAAAAAGACATTTTCTCACTTATCCCAGTTGGTATTGTACCATGTATAATTTTACTAATTTGGGAATGTGCAGAACAGAATCTTTTTTGATAAAGATGTAGAATAACTGATATATTTGTGTTTTTTTCTTACCTGTCACTGCTGACAGTTTCAGCAGTGAAATTTTTTGTGAATTATGTCCAATGAGCCACGAAGATAACATTTTTCAAAATGAACAAAAAAAATGTTATCTTCTGCTTTTCTTCTTTTTTTCACCTTCTGCTGTCCGTAACAGCCAAACAGTGTTTACAAAACAGAGGTAAGCACTGAACCATAGATTTTGTGTTTACCCGTTTACACGCCCTAATAAATGTCATAAGAATCAATCGAGACTTTTGCGCTCTCAATTGGTGTGTAGTTGAAAATTACTTCCTGTTTTATTCATTGTTGATTCTTATAGAATATCAGTCAGCGAAAAAAAATACACAGAGACAGGCAGGATTGTTAAAACTAGTAATAACATTTACTGAACAATGTATAGATGTAAGATAAACCTGCTAAATTGAGTTTGTTTTTAATAAAAACAATACATCTATGTTAATGTTCTGGACATGAACAATTAAAACATGACAGATTTGATGACAGACAACTGAGAATTCGCTGTCTCATTTGGAGAGTAGTTCAAAATGACTTCCTGATTTATCCATTAATGAGTATAATAAAAGATGAAGTGTGAAGAATCAAGATGAACAAAAAATAATGAGCGAGAACCCTTGCCTGCCCAAAGTCAGGCAGAGGATCCCCATCAGTGATGGGCTCTGAATTACATGTGCAGAAGCAAGTTCAACATGCAGAGGGATGAAAATAAAACTGATAAAGCACATGGCGAAGAGCCAAGATGAAGCGGGGCCTGGTGAAGTCTGTATTTAACAGTGACCCTTATGTCAGGAAGAAATGGGAATTAAATGTCATTTAATGATATTTATCATACAAGCGGCATTTTTAAGCAAAAGATTGAGTCTGGAAGGAAGAAATCCCTTTGCAGAAGTACCATGAATCAAAGGAAGTTAAAAGTCACATGGAAAATGTGTCAGGCTTGTGAAAAACAGGAAATGTAAAGTACAGTAAGATCGGGAAAGGCTTCTGGGTTTCATACAATATGACCATTTTCATAGAATGCTGTGAAGTAAATGTGTGTGTGTGTGTGTGTGTGTGTGTGTGTGTCCACTTACAAAGCAATCTGTGTCCTTTGGTCCATAGCAACCACCTGCACACTCACGATGGCAGCAGTCACTAACATAGGGACCAAAGCAACGGCCATCACACTGCTCGGCACACACTGTCTTAGTTACTGTTTGGGAAAGAGAGAGAGAGAAAGAGAAATACATATTTCTTATAACAAGTAAACTATGACACACCTGAAGATCAAAATGTTGCAATATGCAAATTCACACGCAGCTGCAATTGTTTGCGAAGGCGATAAGGCCTACAGAGCCCTGACGACAACCTCCATCCATGGACTCACTAAGACCAACACCATCGTAAAATGAGCAAGACAGTGGCTCTTCTTCCGCCACAAGCTCTGACGGCTCAACATGGACTCCAGCACACTCTGCAACTTCCACAGATGCACCACTGAGAGTATCCTGACTGGCTACATCACCGCCTGGCATGGCAGTTGCAATGCCCTAAACAGCAAAGCTCTACAGAGGGTGATGAGAACTATACAGCACATCGTCAGGGTGAAGCTGCCATCCATGGAGGACCTGTACACCCAGCGGTGCAGGGAGAAGGCCAACAGGATCATTAAAGACCCCAACCACTGCAGCCAGAAATTTTCCGGCAGACAGCACCACTGCATCTGTTCCCGCACCACCAGGCTCATGGACAGCTTCATCCCTCAGGCCATTAAACTGTTCAACTTATATAGTATACTACTATACTACTTATGCTACCCTGCTTTCATCTCTGTGTAGCATGTGTGTATGTACTGTATGTGTATGTGTATATATTCAGTGTGCCACAGTGGTATATTTATATTATATTTTATTCTATTTTATAGATTATATTTATCCCTGAATTTACACTTTTGGGCTATTTATTTCTTGACTTCGATTCTCTTCTTCTCATTTCTCAATTACTGTAAATTTTTGTACGAGCTTTGTTGGAGGGAGCCTGACAACAACAATTTCACTGCCAACAGACTGCTTCACATGTGACAATTAAATAACTTCTTCCTCTTTAGTATGTGTAGTTAAGTTTGTCACATTCTGATCTGGCAATAAATAAAATGAGTGTTGGAGGAAGCTAAGTATGTGAATTGAATTGGAATGAAATTGTGTGTGTGTGTGTGTTTTTGCATGTGCATCTGCATCTGTGTGTAGCGAGCCAAAGCATCTACTAAAGCCACCTACTAGCTGTCTTCAATCATGCTTATCTCTCCCTGCGTGCTCCTCTGATTGTCTCTAGCTGAATTTGACAGACACATAGCAAATCCTATGTGACTACATGGTGAACGTCTGTCCACCCTTTCCTCACATGCCTGTCATAGTCATGTGGGCCGCCGTATGCCTGTGTGCCTCGCTTCCTGACAGTCATATGCAAATGTGCACAGGACTCTGCCATTTCTCAGAGAAAGACAGCTGGTAAAACACACAGCTAAAGCGTCAGCAGTTGGATTTATTTGATAGAGCAGGAAAACCTTCCTACATTACAAGCTATTTGGGAGGGATAAAGCAGAGATATTAACACAAGAAAAAAAACATTCAATAAAAGCTTTTGCCGTTTTTTATTTCAAAGATTTTTTACATCATTCACCCCCAAGGATCAGTCATTTGTTGCACAACTTGTTAGTTTATACTTCCATCACACACCCCGAAATCCCATCCTTCCTGAAAAATCAGGATCTGGCCAATTTGCCTTCTCCTGAGAAAACCAACATGCACTGATTTACTTGCTCCCTTCACTCAGCTTTATTTTTATAAACAGATTGGCGGATGAAGGCAAAAGTACTAATTTTAGGGAAAAGTAACAATGTTAGTGAACAGCAGAGATGGGGACTAGAATTTGAGACTCAGACAGTGACTTCAGACTCGACTTGAGACTCGTCCTCAAAAGACTTCAGACTCGACTCGGACTCAATGTGCGGGACTCGTGAACAATTTTTATTTTTAGGAAGCGTCTGATGAGCTTGCCGTTATTCCCTTCCCTCCGTTACCTCCGTAACACGTAGTATCTGCTGCGCACGGCCACATGTGAGACAACAAACACCGGCAGCTGCTGTGCCATTCATCATAAACTTTGACTTTAAAACTTCATACAAGACCCAAACAAAGAAGCGCTGAACGCAAAATAGGTTAGTAACCTGAGGTTTAGCTCAGCATTGGCCATCTAACGTTAGCTTGTTTCCTGCTTCAGCTACGACCTACCGGAGGTTAGGTCCGACTGTGTTATGAAAAGATGAATGAGCGTTTGTTTGCTTGCCAAACTTGTGGTGGTCGATTGACGTAATAATTTCTGTCCCGCTCGCTGCCATCACGTTAATTATTAACTGCTGCAAATAGGTTACAGGTTTATTGTTGATCATGTAACGTTACAGTATTATTTAGTTAGGCTATAACGTTACGTTAGAGTCTGGGGGTATGGGAACAATTCCTGTGCAATAACCCCATAACCCAGTAATTCTGCCTATAATCAGCCACCTATTACTGGTTAACACTTATTGTTTATTCATCATTCTCTTTTTCAGAGCTGTTCATACTGTTCATATTGTGATATTGTCATATTGTATATACTGTATATACCAAATCCACCTACCTCAAGTACATAACACCTGCACATAATATATTTAATCCAGCATCTTACATAGTTGTGCTCTGTGAGTGAAAAACAGGTTACAGTTACAGAATCCCTTATAACGAAGCAGTTTTATAAGCAGCCTGGATTGAACGCAGCAGTTGATACAACATTCATTATAACCACGAGAGACTTGAGACTTGACTTGGACTCTAGCTCAGAGACTTGAAACTTGACTTGGACTCTAGCTCAGAGACTTGAGACTTGACTTGGACTCTAGCTCAGAGACTTGAAACTTGACTTGGACTCTAGCTCAGAGACTTGTGAGCAACATTACAAACCCAATGCTGGTGTGTGAATGTGTATGCATTTGTATTTTGATGTGTGCCGTGCTTCCCTTTGGGCATTGCGGTGACGAGATGCTATCACAGTGATGGATATAAACCACAGACAACCCGCCAAACACACGCACACTTCACCCTAACGTACCATCAGTGGCATTCCATTAACAGTGCCTGGGCTAAAATGAAAGGGTCTACTTTACTCAAACGACATTTTGTCAAACAAATGACTTTGCCAAGAGAGAGAAGCAATGCTGTTGATCAATTTGGCTTTAAACTTGCACTTTAAGGGAAAAAAAACAGGCTAGTGACGACAAAAAATACAAAAGGAATCCATCTCATAAAATATGCCTGGAAGCTCCCATTTGAACAGGCTGTGGACAGCGGCATCAGTCACAGGAACCACTGCCTCTCAGTTTCCATTTACATGAGCTAAAATGTGCTTTTTCACACCTGGTTTCCAACAGAACTTCATAAATAAAGATGGCGGGGGGGGTTTTGCAGTGGAAAAACTTTCTGTACCTAGTGAAATGTATCTTACAATTGATGCAAATTCAGAGAGATGTAGAGGGCATAACGTTTCAGCTTGATTTCTTATCAGTTAAAATAGTTTCCAAACGTGAAAGACCGTATCAAATACTGCATTAAAAATTTCTTGAACCATTCTAGCAGCATACTTCTTATATGACGTATGTTCCAAACAATGTGTATAGCCAAAATATTGCTGAGAATTGTTATTTTTTAAATAATCTTTGACTATATAGATTTGGAACAAAATAAATACACTGATGGACAGTGGCGATGTGGATTGTGCTGCAGGAGGGGTTTGAGGTTAGATGTTTTGATACAGTTTTTTGTCATCACCAAGATCATTGGAATCCATGGCAATGTAAAGATTTCAAGCTGATCTGCCATTGTTATTTGTTGATGTCTAAAACACAGATTTTAAAAGCTATCAAAGCTTTAATGAGTTTGTTCATCATGATGCTTCTTTCCAAAACTAGTCAAATAAAAGACACAAGTGCTTAGCTGTGAAATAAAATGTCAGTACAGCAGATTTCTCATCTTCCATCTGGTCCCAGTGGCATGTTTGTGACCACATATCCCTCTTTGCGCTGTCCAGCTAATATAATATAATATAATATAATATAATATAATAGATGTATTAGTTTTTAGCTACATTCTTTAAAAAAAAACAAAGCTACTATATTGTCTGTGATGCAATTGACTTAAATATAAATGAACGCAATGAATGTTTGCATTACTGGCCAAAATGTATCTGTTTGAGTGATTTCTAAAGATTTTTCTAAGTTGCTATAATCAATATTTTTATAGCAATGTATCAAATGACAATGTGAAAACAATGTCACAATGTGAAAGATGTCACTCTTAATTATGAACATATAGTTTGGAATTATCCCCTCAATCTACAGCTCCTCTAGCCTTTATTGAGGTTTATGGTGGGTTTCAGCTCATTGTTTACTTTATTTGTCCAGTGTTTCGGATGTACTAATGACTTGTGTCAACTGATGACAGCCAAATGTGTAGTTATGTTATTGTAGTTATGACAGCTGCGAATGCGTAGCTGTCGTATGTATCCTTTTTCATTAAACTGTCAAAACATACCTGTTTTGTTATCTGATTTGTTTCTGGAAATCTTATAGGATTCCAAACCACACCATTGTGGACAATAATTGCAAGTCAAGATACTAATTCAGTGCCTCAACATTAGGTTTTAGGCTTTATAGGCACAGCAGCCAAACAGAATATTAAAACCCACAGTACACTACCCTTGCAGCTCAAAACAGGACAGACAGACACATTTAGCAACTAGCTAACAAGCTGGCAAAGCAGAGCATTTAGCAGTGAAAGAGCCAGATATTCCTTTCAGGAATGGGTAAAAAACAAAAATGGAGCTAAAAGAGAGCAAATACTGGACTTATACGCCACTCTAAATGAATGATAATGTTACTCTGTAACTGCTAGATGTGTAAATAAGCAACTTCTATTAAGTTTACCATTTCATTCTTGAAAGGTGATGATATGTCAATGTTGTGTTTACAATTTATTTCTACTGACCCCAAGTGGGCAAAAAAAACCCATCAGTTATTACAGGTTTGAGAGTGTCGATGTTGATACATGTATACATTCATGTTTTGCCTGATTAAATGTAATTTAGGCACAGTGCTCCAGTGGTTGGAAGTGCTTCATCTGATTATTCTTAGGCTAGATGAAAGGACTACTTTGTATATGCTGACATGTGGTATACATTAGGAATGATACTGAACATTCTCCTAGTCAACACATGGCTTCCCAGCAGCAGTGTTGGAGAAAGATTATCAACAGAGAGGAGCATTGGCTTAGTCTATAAGCTAATTTGACTGTGTGCCATGCAAACAAGCATCAGTGCATCCCTTTAGACACTCTGGACTCAGGTCTGAGAAGAAAGTCACATTAACTTTTGTGGACAGTTATTTTTTCAGTGTTGAATTGTAGTTTTGAAAAATAGGAGGAATTCTGCTCATCTACTTATTTGGGTACACTCCTCTTGTATATTTGTGATTTTCAGTGCCAGAAGTTGTGTTGAGTTGTAATTTACTTTTTGAGTGTATTCGTTTTCCCCCCTGAGGTGCTGACACCACAAGCTGCTGTTTATTGTTGATTTTGAGACAGTTGAATAATTATTCATGAAAATGTCACAAAAAGCATCTTTGAAGTCATTTTTCATTTGACATTTTTACAGTTACTTATTCCATGTATTTCAGCACAATAAAATTAAAGGTTGCAAGGAAAAGCGAGCAGAAGAAGGATGAATAATGGCATACACGTGTGGATGAAGATGGGGCGAGATAACAATGGCTAAACGGAGGCAGACAGACAGGGCCAGGGCTTATCGGGGGCTGGTATGTGACGTGTTGTTAACAGGTCCTGGTCAAACAGTTCATTCCTCATTATCTTAATGAGATCGTGACTGCAGAACAAATAAGATGAGACATGCCAGGGTTGGGAGGCATAGATCGAGTGGTCTGCGCACAGAGTGATGGAAAGAGAGGAGGAAAATTGATGGTGACGGTAGTAATATCAATCTGGAAGTGGGAGGAGAGATATTTAATGGAGAGAGGAAAAAATGTGAGTGCTTTTTTGTCTGCATAAATATGTTAGATTTGTAAAGTTTCAGTATGTGGTATGTGTTGAGTAGATGTTCTGATCCACTACGTAAAAGCCACATGTATTTATATTAAAGATCAAGCTTCCCTGTGTGTGTGTGTGTTTGAAGGGACGGTGAAATGGTGTGTTAGACATGGATGGACGATAAAAATAGCAAATGTAGTAGTAATAGTAAAGCACATTTACTAAAGTGCAGTCATATTTATATTACTTAACAGGATATGGAATATTCCACGTTAGCAACACCCTACCTACTTGAAAGGGATTATCCATTACATTTAATACTTAAACTTTTGTTACATTTACCTGTTAACACTGTTCATGGGAAAAGTGTCCATGCTAGTTCAAAGCACATTACCTAAGCCGAGGACAGCATGGTCTGATACCTATTTCTTTAGGTATCGTAAAAATACACAATAGATTCAATTAAGTTTGGTCCTTAGCTAGGCCATATATGCTTTATGTTTCGGCTTTCAGCTCCTGGACTGTGGAGACTGTCATCACAATAAAAACAGCAGCATCAGTCATTTGTTCAAAAGCCTAAAATGATACTGCCAAATGAACCTCTTGTGTCGGTATCAAGTCTGACCTTTGTCCCTCAAAAGCAAGGGCACAAATAATGTGATGTTGCTAGTGCTGCATGACCTCTAAGGGAATTGCCTGGGTAGACAGATAGGTCAACAAATCGTGTGCCTTTTTACACAGGAGATCCCACCTCCTACTGAGATTCAGCATTGTTATTTTTTCAACCCTGACTGCAATCTTTTACTAACCTTCATCAAGTCATTCTTCTTAGATGAATGAATGACTCCTGTAACCAAGCAGATTTTTTGCCTAATTTTAACCAATCCTTTAACATATCGAGCAGCATCAGATCAGAAATGTTTTGTAATGGTCAGGTGTTCTGGAAGGCACGAATATTGGGTCGACTTGGAAGGTAATGACAAGCAACCTCTTCTACGGTTTAGTTTAGAGGACCTGTTGGGACCTTAAGGTGCAAAAGTGGAATTGTATTTTTTTATTCCTTTTATTCTTTTGCTTTGGCTACACATGTGTGTGTGTCTGCTTGTAGACATGTATGCGATGTACATTACACTTTGCTCAAACAGGTGAGAGGGAGGGAGGGAGAGAGACAGAGAGAGAGAGAGAGCGCTCGCAACATGGGTAGAGTCTGGAGTCTGGGAGAGAAACAGTAATAGAGAATTTGAGAGGAATGATGACTTAAGGAGAGGGAATAACGTGGAGCTCTTCCCTGCTGATGGACTCAGTAGTGTATCATTCTCACACTCTCCTTCAGCTGCCATTAGCTAGTATGAATGGTGGGAGGTCCCAGCAAGGGGGTTTGTGGTATATGGGATGGGACTATGTTGGGGGGTCTTGGGATGCTGTTGGTGTTGATATGTGCCTGTGTGTGTGTGTGTGTGTGTGTGTGTGTGTGTGTGTATGTTTGTGTGTGTACTGGGGGTGGTGGTATTTCCACTGCTATTATGGGCTCAGGAATACCAGTACAAAGCTGACCCATTTACAAGGCAGAAAACTGTCAGAAACCTTACAAAGTGCCACTTCGCTCACTATGAATTTATCTAACTAGATTAGGAAAGCAACTTAAACTAGAACTAGATCTACTAAATTACTTTATTAGATACAAATTCATTATTCATGAAGTAATGAACAGAGCCAAACATGTGTTATTAAGCATTCCTTCTTTGGAAATATCCTCCATTGTTATATTTTAAATGTCATTCTGCAATTAGAAGTTGTCCACATAATGTTATGAACTGTGTTTGTTCGAAGCTCCTTTAGCTTGGGAAACATAAGACCTTCACAGGAAAGATAAGATAAGAGATATTGCTGTGTAAAAAATTGTTGTCTGAACTAACTCTATGCTTCACTTTGCAAGAAAAATTATGCAGGATCAGCAAATTCTTTCTTTATTCCATGCTTTGAAACTGGAGGCCCGTGGAATAAATTTCATGCTGGATTGTAAAATCATGCACATAAGAATCTTAACCAAAATCAGGAAATCGAACAAAATATACAAATGACCTCACCCTTTCAATAAATAAATCAAGCTTAATAGATAGTAGTAATATTAATGTATAGTTTTTTTTCATTTCTGATTTGTCAGTACAGATCAGAGTAGAGTAAGACTAAATACAATAGGCTTGTTAGTAGAGTAAAATTTCAACAGATGCTTTTATGTGAACGTATTGTTTCCCATTTATCATAAAGGCATATGAATTACTAAAAAATCCTGGTTCAAATACTGGTTCAAACCAAATCATTTGGTTTGGATATGAAACGTGGGTAATTTTTTCAGTCAAGTCAACTAAATAAGGTGTGGCAACTTGGACAACGTTTGTGGCTACATTCATTCTGCAAGTTTGACACATGTAAATGTCACACCCACATTAGTTAAACACAGTTTAGTTCATACTCTTGTATGAAAGCAAGCCAGGTTTCTGACCATCAAACAATTTAGCATAAAATCATAATGTTGATACCAAAGCAAGGCAGAAATTCCTCAAGGGTGGAATTTTTAAACAGAAATAACTTCCTCAAGAACAAAATCCATATTAATGTCAGCAATGTGGTATATTTATACACACACACACACACACACACACACACACACAAACATATGCATATAAACATACAAAATCCTTGGAGGACTTTCACGTTGATCCTAAAGCCACTAAAAGGGCATGTGGTGTGTCTTCAGCTGATAATAGTAATGTACTTACAGCTTTGGCACTGGTCCTCTTTTGGTCCCCAGCAACGACCATTACAGGAACGATGGCACTTTTGACCTGTGCACAAGTTCAAGGAAAGAGATGATTGGTATTTCAAATGGTTACTTAATCACAAAATATGATCAGCATCAGCCTTGAAATTTCCATATTAGTTGAACCTTTAAATGGGATAGAGGTGGTTAGCTGAGTCTGTGTGCAGTTAAGCACTCCACTGAAGCCCAAATTGATCCAAAGAGTTAGCGAGGATGTGGCAGTATCGTTGTAATACCTTTAAATACAGCTATGTGTCTGTGTTTGTGTGCCGTTTTTCTCTAGATAAAATCAACTTGATGCATTGTTCTTAAGAGACAAGGCTTTGTTATAATAGGTGTATTTTGAGCATGTTGTGTGCTTGATATTTCTTATAATTAGAATCTAACATAAACACAATCTGCAAGAATGTATGTACTTGAACACCTGAAAAGACTAGCGTGCCGTTAATTATGTCTGCAACTAAAATTGTGTTTTTACAGGTATTATTATTTTTATTTTTATTTTTATTGTTTAGTATTCTTATTTTGTATGAAATGTGTCTCAGTCTTTTAGTGACAACATAGCTTCTCACCTGTCTGGGACATGCTGCTCCAGTCATAGAAACTAAAATAACCTTGGCACAGCAGGTTGTTTTGTGAAAATAATACAGTTCTTCACTCAGTCACTCTACTTTAAATCAGCCCAATGTGAAACCAGCACACATCAGGTTGAGATAAAAGCAGTAAAGCAGCAGAAAGCAGCATCATACCCTCAGAGCTTCAGCCAGTGCCTTTCTGGGTTTTTTGGAGGACTTAATTGACTGTCTAGTAATTGACTGCGGGGGAAGTGAGCCTGGATAAGTGCAGAAGTGCTGTCCTCTGTCCATCAGCCTCTCCAGATGAGAGCTATTAGCATTGAGACTGACTCTATTCCCCAACACAAGCCTCTCCATCCCCTGCCCTCCTCTTCTTCCTCGTCTGTACCCCCTCTCCACCACACATTTAATCTCTTTCATCCTCAATCCACCCATCGCTGATTCATCACTCCTCTGTGGTTCTCTTTCACTTAATGCCTATCCCTGTCTCTCTTTGTCTTTCCCCAGTCTTCTCCCCTCAAACTAGCACTTTGACAATGCTTGAGAAAGAGAGGTCGACAGCCTTGACTGTATGAAAAGCAGCATACAAACAGGATAATAATACAAATGTCAGCCAGCCATAAGTGGTTGTCTGACAGTACCTTGTGTGCAGAACCTCTGCTGCACTTAATTATATCTGTTTTCCTCTGAGCCTAGTGCCCTGTGAAGTCAACCCAAAGAGTTTTCATTTAGTGTCCAAGGTCTTCGCTATCTCAATTTATAAATTCTCAGTGACCCAGTATAAACCTGTCCCACCCCTTTTTCTGCGCTATAATCTTTTACAGCTTTCTTAAAACAACCCTGGAAGGTTAAAATGTCGAGAATGCTGCCATGTGGGGCTAAAAGACAGATGGGGGGGGGGGGGGGGGGGGGGGGGGGGGGGGGGTGGCATGGACATTAAAATTACTGTCCTGTTTCTGAAAAGAGACCAATACACACAATGACCATGGCACAAATAAGTCAGAAGTAAACACAGCATAAAGCTTGTGGCTCCCCAAAGTATGAAATGGAGATTATGTTCTCAATTGTGGATTACAGATTTAGAGACCCTTGATCTTTTGTGTGAGAAGAGGACTTTCACAGGAGTAAGGGTCGATCCAGGACTAACATGGCTGCAGAAAGGAGGGTGATTGAGCAGGATATCAATGCTTTGAGCTGTTAATCTGCATTTGAAGCCTTCGGCGAGTGCTGTGAGAAGAAATCCAAGGACTAATGCAGAGACTATCTTAATATATTGTGCCATAGTGATGGTAATGGATTTTATTGTGTAATTTTTTTAATTTGGAAAGAAACGGGATGAGACAGCTTAAAGGAAAACAGAAAAGAAACAACAACAGATTTAAATGTCAAACAGCTTGAGCACTAAATTAATAACAAAAGCAGATTGTGTTAAGAGGTTAAGTCAGTGAATGAACAGAAAAGGGTCAGAAGAAGTGACTTAATGCATCTTCACTTCACTGAGCCCCACCTCCACCATCATCCCCCTACCTCCTGACAGATTAATTATGTATTTTTCATCCTGATAAATCCCTTCATAATTCTAAGCATTTATTAACATGTCTTCCAGCTGGCTCCAGTAGAGCATTAATGTAACATGAGTGAGCAGTCATTGTGGATTGTTATGGTGAGCAGAGTGACAGAATGAGGTCAAGGGGTGCTTTTGTAATGACAATGTTTTGCTGCTCACACTCAGTCACTTATTGTGAATAGAGCAGGTTAAGATGTAGGATCTCCTTCGGACCATTGTCCTTGTCACAACTTACCAGCCCTTGCTGCCTTATGAAAGATGTCTGAAACTGTTAATGGAATGGCTGTGAATACACCTTATTTTTAGTCTGGTCAGAGTTTTTCCAGGAATCTTCAGGTAGAGCTGGCATTCAATAAAGATTGTTTAAGAAAATGAGTCATCACATCTGTAGTCATGAGCTATCCTCATTTGCAGGGTACACTTACACAACAAACTTTTTTTAAAGTCAAGAAGTAAGCAAAATGGCATGTAGGAGAAATTAAGAGGTGCAACGTTGACAGTGTTTGAGAAGAAAAAAAACTGAGCTCAAACTAGCAGTGACGAATGTAAAAGTGATTGGAAAATGTCAACCGCATCAGGTGCACAGCCAAATGTGCCATGAAAAACAATATGAAACATACATTACAATCTTTGTGATGTATGAAGTGCAGTAATATTAAAGGATATTTGGAAAAGTTTCAGGCTTTTGCAGTCAAAAAGCCCAATTTAGTACACCTAATGTGAAATCCTGAAGGTCAAGGTTAATTCCCAGACCAGCATGAAAAATCTGGGTGGGAAAAGTGAAAAAGCAGCAAGGCAATCAAATCAGATAAAAGTTAACATACGCGAAAGCCAAGTTGCATTATGGGTAATGTAGGTACCAGGTTTTAAAATGGAATAAAATGTTTATTTCTGCTGCAAATACTGTCCATCGTGAGTCCGGCAATGTTATAGAAGTGCAATGCTAAATTGGTGGAAAAGTCTTTTAAGCCACTGCTTCATTGTTGTTGTTCAATGTCTGACACACTAGACTTTACTGAGCAGCTTCCAGGTGTTAATGAGAGTAAATGTGTTGAGCAACAGCAGTTTTCTCAGTAACACTTTCCTGTAATTAAAGGTTAAAATCAAATCAATTCTTCTTTTACACGTGTTGGTTACTTACATATGACACTGCTGTTGGTGGGCACGACCAGTGGATGGATTCGCGGGTTTTTGACAATGTCCTGCCAATGGATTGTGTCTGCATGACACAGGAACTTGTTCTGGTCTACATATACACCTCCACTCAGGATCTCTGTGTAGAAGAGAGAGAGAGAGAGAGAGAGAGAGAGAGAGAGAGAGAGAGAGAGAGAGAGAGAGAGAGAGCCCACAGTCAACATAGTCACACACAGGGCTTTCTAGGTACTTAACAGTTTCTGCCTAATTCAGCAATCCTGCTACCAGGATCCTGATGTGTTTTTTAATTGCCAGCTTTTCCCCCCTATCATTTTATAATTAAAGCTGAGGTAGGCAATTTATTTCAGAAGCATTTTTTGTTATATCTGTTAAAATTCTCTTAAAATCCCAACAGCAATCAATAAATCAATTAAATCAATCAATTAAATAAATCTGCTATCTGTCGCAGTATCTTTCCCAAGAACAGTTCTTCAAGCAGACTGGAGGAGCCGGGGATTGAACCACTGACTTACTAATTAGTAGACGACCAGATCTAACTCCTGAGCCACAGCATGGCCAAATCTTTGGCTGGCCTACCTGCCTGCATGTCTGTCTATCTACCTGCTCTCACTCTGCCCATGCCCTGCCTGGACTGCGATTTTTTCAGGTGGATACTTTCAAAATCTAGTGTCTAGATAGTTTCTCCAACGTTACCTAACCTAGCTTTGACAGACGACATGGCAGACATGCAAGTCAGTATCATTGACTAGATTGAATAGACTCTATGATCCACTTTTCATCTGAGGGCAAGAACAGGTTTCGGGTTTGGAGTGAGCTGTTGGTCTTGAGACACACAAATGATCTGATGATGGTTGTTGTTGTGAGGCAGCCAGGATAAAGCCGTGTCATACTGCTGTTATTACAACCTCTGATCTTTCCCATTTTGTTGTTTTTCTCTACCTCCTCTTCCCACACAGACAGAATCAATTATGCCTCACTACCATCACAACATGAAATCCATCTGGGATTAAAGTCCGAGTAAGGGACAGCAGCCCTAACAAAGGTGTATTTATATATTTCATCAAGGTGGAAGGTGGGAGTCATGTCTCTCACCATCGTAATATGCATCCTCTTGTCGATGACATGATTGTCCAAGCATTTATTCCTTTTTCACCACACACATACACATCCATTTGTCTGTCGGATGATTGGATATACAGGGTGGCTTTGATTATTGTTGTGCAGGAGCTTAGAGAATGCCTAATCCTAACTTTTATGTGAGTGAAAAAGAGTGGGGAAGAGAAAAAAAGTGAGGCAAATAAAGATGGGAGAAAGCCACAGAGAGACGGATGGCAGGAAAGAAAGACAGAGTGAAGCCTAGTAGCAGATTTGCATTATTTACAGAGCTTGCGTGTTCTCTATCTCCCTACAAACAGATTACTGACACAGGGCTGAAACCGATGAGACACATAATCATACACAAGGCGCCCCGCCAGCACCACACAGAAACAGCCAAATACAATATCATCCCACAAAGGCCCGATTAAATGATACTCCTTGGATAATAGGTGATGGTGGTATTACCTACGCAAGCCCCCCTCCGCCAAACTCTCTCTAGCTCTCTCTATCTCTATCTTTCTGCATGTGCGGTGGGAGTTAGGGAAAGAAATTAATCCTGCCTCTCACCACGGGCGGGATATCGCTTGGCTAGGAGGAGGCTGCGTCTCAAATTCAAATTGTTTGTAGAATGAGTTTCTGCTGGCAAAGTAGGGCAATGGACAAACGAACAGACAAGGCAAAGCAGTTATTATTATTATGACAAATGCACCAGCAGGACATCCCAAATCTGGATCAACAAGATACAAGTACATCATGCGGGCATTCATTATCAAACTGGCTGGTCAGATTTTAATTGGAGCCAAAATATATCAAATGTAGGTAACATATCCATGCAACATTCAGCCACAGTTCACATAGGTTCCAATGGGCTTTGAAAGTCTTTATAAATGCATGTACATTTTCAATAATGTTGAACCACCAGGCCACACTACTACAACCACAGTTTTCCATGGAGTTGAACTTTGCCAAAAAGAATTACCAGGATTCTTCTGTGTGGTAACAAAGTGAGACAAGGTTTTTCTACTAAACCCAGCTGGACATGAGCAGCATTCACTCTCAAGCACACTGTATAAACACAATGAAAAAGAAAACCTTCTCTGCTCAATACTGTCACAACAAGTGACCCTCAACACCATCCAGTAGGCTCCACCATCTCCTAATGCTTTTCACACATGGTGAATTTGGATATGTATTGCACACACATTTACAGTATGACATAACAAAGTTCAAGATGCTGGATAACAGTTTAATTGGCTTCTAGCTGGCGCTTTGCCCAGGACAGTAACAATATTTCCCATGCCTCTGTCACCAAGATATGAATAATTAATACACTTTTATTACATAATACCTACAATAACATGCGATGCTCATGCAGGCCTTGCTTTCATTATGAGTAAATGCTTGGCTTGCACATTTGCTGTGTGTGCAGTTGGTAGCCAGGGGGACATCAACGGTTAAATCTTGTTGTTGATTGTTTAGTGGGTAGAGAAAATGTCTTAATTAGTTTGTTCACGTAGCTACAGCTCATGTTTCCACACTACCCCCTCCCCTTCCGCTTTGTCCCGAGAGCAACTCCAAGCATCTCTGAATGAGTGTATGGCTTCAAAAGGCAAAGCAATCTTCAGTAGCAGGCCGCATGACCATTGGCGGAAAACAATATGAAATTCAGGGAGGCAGAACAAATGTATGCATGCAATTATTTTGATGGTAAGTGCTGGTTGTGATTTCTTTCCCCCTATATTGCAGTGTGGGGATGAGTTTGATTAAGACTGGGAGGCAAAAAGCAAACCAATGATCAGAAAAAAAACATATTAATGAGTTTGTGAGAGTGAATTAATAAGTGTTGTGTGGATTGTTAAATGAAAAAATATGTAGGACAACAGAAGCACTATAATAAATGGTTGACTTGCTCCAGTGTTGGAGGACTGCATTATCGAATGTCCCCAATAGTATTTATTCTGATATCTTAACTTCAGTCCCTCTTCACATAGTCTGCCAGAGGCAGGTATCTACACATAAATGTGAAGAAAAACATACCCGCTTGATAATTAAGAGCAAACACAATCAGCTGAATACCAGTTAGACAGATTGAAAGGCCGCTTCCAAAAGACACTCAAACTGTCAGGAAATTACAAAGGATAGACAGGTATTCAATCAGAAATACAGATGAGTTTCTCTTCTCCTCTAGCAGCGGGACTGGGGATTTTACCCTGGGTCTCCACTGTACTGCCTTATTGACTTTGAGAGCTACAACTTGGTTTCGGCTCAGCACTGCTATCAGCTCAGTGGAACAGAGGGGAGAAACTCTGCGGGAAGATGAGGATGCATTCTGGGTCAAAGAGGCTAAATGCTGGGGCGCGGATCCTGCAGTACACCCCAGCAGCAGTGGCAGGCTGAAGTTGTTGCTAGGCTGCACATAATAGACAGACTGGCAGAAATGCCAAAATAAGAGACGAATGCACAGACTAAAAGAAGCATGTTCAAAAAACATACACACACACTTACACACGGCTTAGGGTTGGCAGTAATGAGGCTCTCATTACTATACGTGCCTTGAGCATCAATTAAATTACCAGTTAGCTTTATCTTGTAACCAGAAGGTCACTAATTTGAATCCCTACAAGAGGTGCGAAAATGTGGGAGGGGAATGTCAGCATGTCCCTCTGCAGCTATTATGAATGAAGAAAGACACTTTATTAGTGACTGGCAAACAATAGAAAACTATGTACTGGGAAGCTCCCTGGTAAAGGAAAGATAAACTGTACAATTAGAAAGCTTTGCGTTGCTACAAAACATCATGGAGCTACTGTATCTTACTGGTACTGTGCAGTTTGTTAAGATTTCAAATAAGTTTGTGATGGCGCAGTGGATAAGACGCACGCCTTTGGTGTGAGAGACCCGGGTTCAACTCTCCTCTGTGACACATCCACCAATGAATCCCTGAGCAAGACACTTAACCCCTAGTTGCTCCAGAGGTGTGCAAACTCTGACAAAAACAGCAATTGTAAGGCGCTTTGGATAAAAGCATCAGCTAAATGAAGTATAATGTAACATTTGTCCATAAATGCACGTGTTCCAACTACAGATCCAGCATTAGTAAGTAAGTGCACTAAGAAAAAAAGCGCTGCTGTCTGAACTGGACCACTTCCTGTACAAAAAACAGGGGAATAAATTAATGAGTGAGTGAAACTGAAGAATGTACATGCCTACTGCTAACAACATTGATAAAAAAAACAACAGTAAGCTTTAAGAGAGCACATTTCCTGAGTTTTTAGATACGGCTCATATGGCCACACAGCGCTGTGCTCTGAGTTGTTGGTTGCTGACAGGAGATGTCAAGACAGCAAATTTCTGCCTTTGCTCTACAAATAGGTGATCTCCCCTCCCATCCATCATCAGCTGCTGCTGCACAGTTCCATTCTTGCCCTCCAGTCCCCACTGCTGCCAAAGAAATGTATGCAGATCCCAGATGTAAAGTATATGTGTACATGTGCACTTGCATGTAGGTGAAAGTCAAAAAAAAAAAGGACATTTGTTCGCATGAGTGCATTGATTTGTCTTCCACATTTGTGTGTGCATAGACAAGTAAGAGAAGAAGAGAAAGAACATCACTGTGTGTGAATAAAAACTGTGTTTGTGGTGTGTGTGTTAATCTACACAAGTACAACAGAAAGAAAATAGTGTGTGTCTAAGTAGTTGAAGGGAACATATTTTTGATATGTGTGTTTAGAATAGTTTCTCTTATCTTTTTCTCAATAGATGATCATGTCTCAGAACAAATACAGTGGGGGAAATAAGTATTTGACCCCTTGCTGATTTTGCAGGTTTGCCCACTTACAGAGAATGCAACAATCTACAATTTTAATCATATGTACATTCTAACAGTGAAAGACAGAATCCCAAAGAAAATTCCAGAAAATCACATCATATGAATTTATAAAAATTGATAACCATCTGATGAGGAAAAACAAGTATATGACCCCCTACCAAACAGCAAGTATTCTGGCTCCTACAAGCCAG